CAGCTAGATGGAGACCAGTTTGACGATGACCCTAAGACCTTCCTGAAGTCTGCAATAGTGATGGTACAGCAATGAAGTAAATAGGATCAGCTTCCTAGTATAATTTTTAAAACAGCCCCAACACCAGGGAGAGGTGAAAATACATTGCTGGGGCAATGGCAAGCCAGCCAGTAGTAAAATAGTGGCTTAAGTGTTAAATAGATTAACCTGAGAGCTATTCTTTAGAAAGTTCAAGGGGCCAATTTTTGCTCTCAATTATGCTGAAGTCGAGGAACTATGTCTATTGTCACTTCAAGAAGTATTTCACCTCAATTTTTCACTGCAGCTGCATGCAGCTGTGACAGACCAAAGTGCATCAGCAAGATATTCACAAAGCACCACCTCTCCGGACACACACACACATACACACAGCCTACCCAGCCCCAGGCTAAATTCTTCCAGTGTCAGTTACAACATCAAAATGACAAAACCTGATGGTTTTGTTCAAGAGAACATCTTTTACTGCCCAGGAAGAGGCACAAAGCCACAGGTGGCATTTCTTTTTTTCCTTGTTGAAAGAAGTCAATCCCCTGTGCTTCAATTATACATGGGATTTTTCCCGTCAGTTAAGTGCAACCCATTTCTGTGACAGCCCCGGTACTTCAGCACGGTATGTACCCTGTGGCTGGGAAGGAAAAGAGTTCATCCAGCTCCTTCAAAGCTGGATGAGACTGTCTCATAAATCATCTGGCTGGAATAACTCAGGTAGGGCTTACTCCAAAGCCCATTGAAATCAGCAGAAATCTTCCCATTGACTTCAGCCAGCTCTAGATCAGGACCTCAGGGCTTTACACAACCACCGTCCCAGGCGCAGGACTCCCGCTGCCTCCGAGGAGCAGGATAAAGCCTTGGTTTTGCTGCAGAGCATTTAGAGATGTGGCACATCCCATCACCCAAATGACTGGTAGGGTCCTATTTTCCCTGACTTGCACATGATCAGTACAAATCACATGCAAAAAGTTAGCAGACGGGCCCAGTTAATGTTGCCATACTTTGTCCCAGGTTTCCCAGCCTATGCCTGAAAAGCCTTGTTCCCCCATGTACCATGAGGTACAAGAGCTGTTGGGCCCCCACCAGCCTGAGAATGTGCAATAAAACTGACAACCTGGGAGAAAGCTGGACAAAGCCCCATACGCCTGCTGTTGGCCACATGTCCCCTAGACAGGTCTATGCTGCTACTCCAAACATGATTATAGGCCTTCGGAGATACCAGACAAATACGAATAGTCAAAAAATTCTGGCTGGACAACATTTCTGGGTGGGTACAGCAAGCCCATATGGGGAATCTAGGACACATGGGATACCTTGAAATGATAAGAGCTTAAAATGCCAAAAAAACCCACTAGTTTTCCGAGTTGGTGGCAATCTATATTTGAGTTGCCACAGCATGAACTACTAGCCAAAGCACATGTCAGGGGTGAACCACACTGTTGGGTCTTTAAGACAAAACCAACACCTCCTCAGGATCGATCCTAAGCATATCAACCCAGAATGCCAGGGCTACACAGAACAACAAAGCATCATTTCCAACAGCTTTCTAATGAGGTGAAGAAAAAAAAAAAATTTAAAAAACCCACAAAGCCTAACATCAGCCCTCAAGGATTGAATTTGCACTAAATATCTCCAAAAATTAGGCATAAGTGGCTGGACATCAGTGGCTCCAGCATGATAGACACTTGGGAAACACATATATCCTGACCAGTCCTCACATGGCCTCTGGCCCCTGGAGAAGACACAATAAGGTCAAGTCACTCCCTCTTGGGCATGTGATACATGAGTCCATGCTGCTACAAGGCATCTTCACCGCTCCATCTCTCTTGGGCACAGGCATCAGGCTGGGAAGACAGGCTTTTCAAGTGCCTTTTTCCCAGGAAATGGCAAAATGCGTCACTGCAGTTGGCTGCGTTACAAATACTGTTTTTTGATATGGCTGCTTGCACTTCTGGGTCTACTGTTAGACTCAGAGAAGCCTAAACAGTGTCTGGGAGACCTGGTGAACATGTTACAGCCTACACATAATCATCCCTCTGTCCATCTCCCAGCAGAAGTGCTTGCAAGCAGCAGCAGTTTCCCCATGGCAGGGGTATAGCCCACTGATGGGAGGGTGCAGGGAAATGTCCTGTGCCTAAGCAGCAGGTACCAGTGCTCAGAGCTGACGGAGCAGTTTCAGCCTCCATACCACTCTTTAGGACTGCATGATTCACTTGGTAAAACACCTGCAAGTGTTCAGACAGAGGGAGGTCTGGCAAGCGGATTGCTGTGGCTTAAGAGATGTACACAAACATGTTGTAGTCGTTCTTCGAAAGGTGAAGACGATTCCCCAAATCCCTAAAAATATGAATTCATCAAAAAGAATCCAGCATGACATATTCATTTGTTAATAACTGCCCAAATGCTTCTGCCCTCAGCTCGACGTGAGCAGCGCAGTGTAGTGGGGGAGGATGCTCAGCTCCTCCCTGGTGTTGCCCCTCTTGGGGCAGGTTTTGGGAGGTCCCACCTCCCAGAGTCACATCTGAACTTGAGAATCAGGCTCTGTTATTGTTAAGGCAAACCAAAAATAAAAAGGCCAGACTAAATTATTTTTAAGATCTCAAGATTTTTAAAGCAGTCTTGTGACTTTTAAGGGGTCTGACTCATGATACTTGAATGCTTGAAGTTGGCAGCAGCGGAGGGAGTACAGCAAGATTTAGCATACATTTATTGCTAACAGCCTTCAAATGTGTGGGAAAGGGCACGAAGCACTTCTTCAGCAATTCGGCAGAAAACAGGGACATGGGGCCAAGCCCTTCTCCTCCAGCCAGGCTACCACCAAGCTTGCCTCCTCCACAAAGTTTACCACACAAAATCCCCACAAAGCCACCCCAGACGTGGCAAAAACACTTCCCAAAAGCAGGCGTGGGTGGGTGAGTGGGGAGGCGGCCGTTCCCCGTGTCAGCGGCCATCACTCTCTGGCCCAACCCCTTGGCTTCCCCATGACGCAGGGACCGGGGCAGGAGCAGGTATCGCCATCGGTCTGCAGGCCTCCCCAGAGGCGGCTCCTTCGAGGGACACCAGTCAGCAGCTGGCTGCAGCTTTTGCCTCCGCAGGGCTCTGCTTTCCCCCTGCATTACCAGAGACCGAAGTCAGGCCAATGCATAAAAGCACAGGCCACACAGGGACTTCGGGATACACCCGAAGTCCTGGATTTCAGCTTCCATGGCGATGAGGGCAGAGCGCCTCATCCCCAGCCCCTCGCGGCTGTCACTGCGTCTACAAGCCGGCCACGCCATATCAGCAATGCGAGACCACCCCACCGCTTCTGCACGCTCCCGGAAGGCCTTGGATGCCTTCACAGGGAAGTCCAAGTGACGTTTTTCCACAGCAGAAAACACCTCCAGGCCTACACCCCTCAGCATCCTCCACAGGCTGCCCAGGGCCTCTGTTATCAACAAACGCTAAAGCCTCGGCCTTCCCGTAACAAGGTTTTCTTACAGCAGAAGTACGCTAGACGTATATAAATACCATGTGCTATACCGTGCACTGGCCCGGGCTCTGCAGTCCCTCCCACACTGCCCAACAAAAATATATCACCTCAGGCCTAGAGGGAAACCTGCTGGGACAAGAAAGTAGCTTAGTGCCGTGGCACATTTGCTCCTCTGCCTTTTGGGGTAGGTCGCTGACCAGGCGATGGCTGCATTTCGCAAAGGGAGGCTGCCGCCTCGTTTCCCTTTGGCCACCAGGCTTTGTGTGAGCTCCTTGATCTGCGGGCGACGCTGCTGCTGCTCGCCAGAGCTCACCGGTTCAGCCCACAGCCTCGCATACGCAGTTCCACATAGCAACGCTTCTTTTGGAAAGAAAAGCGGCCATTGCTTCCCATCCACCTGGGGTCCCCCCGCCCCAGATATCATCAACGTCCATCAGAGAGCTCTGCCACGTAAAAAGCTCAAGGCAGGTATACAAAACACACTTGGTATTGCATTCTGTTGACTTCCATTTAAAATTGCTTTGACAATGGATTTTCTCCTACAGCATTCAGAACCCGAAACTCCAAGGTTTTGCCAGTGCATGGGCAAGACCAGAAACAAAAATGAAGTCCATATTCACAATATTCAAAACGAAATACAAAAATGAGAACAAAATGGGCTTAAACCCAGGTCCCATTTTTTAAAAGTCATTCCAACATTAATAAACTAAATCAGATCTTTGTATCAAAGATGACATTACAAAAATAAATGGAGCCTGACTTTCTCCCTGCTTACTCCAGTGTAAATCATGAGAAATTCCGTTAAAGCATATGGAACTGTACAGGTGTAAAAAGGGGTTAGTTAATGAAATGTCATTCCTAGTATTGCCACGCTGCCTCTTTCATAAATTGACATCATCGTACCCACATCAAGTTCTGTTCTCGTTTGCACCAAAGTATATCTGTAATCTCTAATAACTGATAGCAAATACTGCCCTTGTAGCCCATATAAAGTGGTTGTAAATGAATAAAAAGCGACAGACACTACAAATACAATAGCGATTGCACAGTAATGACAGACAATTCACAGATACGCTATGCTACATATACCAAGGGTATTTCAGCTTTCAATTGCTATCTTATCATTTTAGCTCTGTATCTGAAAAGACAACAAAATCTCTTCTGTACAGCAGTCACTCACATGGCATCTGAGCATGAGTTTTCTTACCAATAATTTCACATGGCCATAGTCTGCCTTCACTGCTTACATTCATCCATACAACAAAATAACGAGAAGCCAGGGCATTTACAACAGCCTAAAGGAATTAGGCACTAGACACCCCTGACTTCCAGCCTCTCCCACAGTAACTATTAGCTATAAAGCTATTTTACAACACGTATCATTAGCAAGGACTCTTTGGTTAGCTATAGCATACTTTGGAATTTAAGGCAGAAATCCTTAAAGCCACTGCTAATCAAAGGCAAGCCACTGGTACCAATTCCATACGTAATACCTCACCTCTCTGCTTCAAGGCGCATTTCCTCACGCTTTTGCCTCCTGAGCTCTCTGCGGCGTTCAAAGTCATCCATGGTGGGTGTTCAAGTGTTCAGAGCTCTGGAAAGATCCAAATCTAAAAAGGGAGATGACCACTTAGATAAAAGAGAAAACACAATGGGTGCGTCTAACCAACTGAGTCCATTTAGTTTTGTTTTGCTTTCTTAACTTCGCTGTAACTATTTTCTTTTTCCATCAAAAAATTTAACTTCCTCAGTATTGTTGAGATAAACAAGATTAATGAAATGCCTTGTAGGATAAACATAGACCATGCCTGCTTTTAGTTTCCTAGTTAAAATTAAATCAACATGCTTTAAGTAAGGACTGTATACATCTGCTGGCCGCAGACTAGCTATTTATAACGTCACA